GGGTTATAATAGATAAGCATGGGGATTCTTGGCTGCTGGCTATGTAATATGGTCTAAAATTTTCAAAAAAGAGTCCAACACACTTAAAAAATGTGGTTGACTCTTAAATTTAACAGATGTTGTAAAGTGAGAAAGCTGGTGCAGATACAAGGGGTTTCTTAGTTTTTACCTATATGCTTAAATGGAAAGAATTCACTTAGAGCTAGAGTTAATGGTGGAGCCCCACTCGGGAATAGAACATGTTTTGAGCTGTATTATTACACCCCGGTAAATGTCCCACTGTCTAATAGTTTGTCCCCTGATTTGTGGTAGGTAGGGTGGTGGACCACTTAAGTGGAGTGGTAGGCAAATATCTAGTTTCAGTTGGATTAGGTTATGAATAATTTTTCTTGAGGTTTTGGTTTGTGGAGTTGGACTCGTTTGAGGATTCCTTAAGAAACACCTTTATTGTATTAAAAGAGACTCCAAATAATGATGTAATAATTTTAGAAACCAGGGTTATTAGGGGTGTGTGAAATGGACCGTATTCCATTTGGATTCGAATTTGGCCTGGATCGGGGACAGTGATTCGACTCGTTGATTCGTATAACTGCCCCGATTTGATTCGGCCTAATCCAAATCTGAAGATTTGAGGCTGATGCAGAGAATCAGCAATTCAGCCATAGACACAGCTTAAATGTTTTTTCTACATACCTCAAGGTACCAGGCACGACTCGTGAACTCTGCGATGCTGGGGTGGATTGAGTGTCCCACAGGAGTGCAGGGGGGCACTCCCCGGCGGACCCGGAAGTGGACTGGAAGTGCTTCTGGTCCACTTCTGGGTCTGCTGCTGAGCACGTTGGGGAGCCCACCCACCCCCATTTCCCTGTGGGATGCTCCATCCGTCCCAGCATTGCAGCATTCATCAGCCGCCTGGTACCTTGAGGTATGTAGAAAAAACATTTAAAGCTGTGTCTGTGTCCGAATCTCCGAATCTTTTCAAATCTCTCCAAATTGTTTCAAAGAGTTCCAGTTCATTTCGGAGAGATTAAAAGGTCTCCTGATTCAATTTGGATTCAGAGATTTGGCCACTGAATCAGGCCAAGCCTCCTCTGAATCGAATCAGGGACCGAAGCTTCACACAGCCCTAGTGGTTAACTCTGTCAGCATTCTTCCCATAGTGTTCAGATGAAAATAGACAGGTTCAAGTTACAATAGTAATCACAACAATATATCATTTTTGGTCTTCGCAGACACGTCTTGTCTTTAGGATAATCTTGTGCGGTGTTCTTCTCATGAACTCTTATTCTCAGTTTCAGAACTGCTTTTAACTTTTCCATTGTTGAATTTAAATATAAGCCCACAAAATGTATCAAAATGCATTCAACTAATATTTTGCATGTTAGCATAATGAGCTAGTTGTTTTCTGCATCGCTTTAAAATTGTGTCTTGCAAATGTAGTGACAACGCGAGAAAATTAGAGACAAACTTGATGAAAGCCTTATGAGCCTTCAGAATGGTAGGCTTGTGCTTTTTATATCATTGACAAGAGAACCATAAATTGTGAATGCCAAAATCACATGATCTACAACAGTTTTCTCTATATGAACTGAACTACTTGGATTTGTAAAAGTAGAATCATAGAATCAATCATAGAATCAATGAGTCGGAAGAGACCTAGACAGATCATCTAGTCCGACCCCCTGCCATGGGCAGGAAGCTCATTATCCTCATAAGATAATTTTTTCTGAGCTTTCCGTCTGTGCCTAGGGTAAGACATATAATAAGTAAACTTTTCTGAAGTTGTCTGTATTTCCATTCCTAATCCTTAGTGGAAGCCTGCACATCTATGAAAATGGAAAGCCAGGGGAAACAAGTTATACGAAACCTTCCATAAAGTCTGATTTGGGGCCTGAAGTTTCTTTTTTAAAATTCTATCTGTGTTTACATTCATTATGTTTAATTTCTGATGTTATCATTTGGATGGTTTATAGAGTATTACTGCGGAAAGGAAACTTTCCTAAAGTTGGGAATGGAAGGCAGTTATGTCACTTTGGGACAGATTTTAAAAATATTCAGGCCTCTAAAACATCCTGATGAATCTAGCCGTTAGTCTAAGAAGATTCTCAAAATTACACAGAGGTTTAGGTCACTTTTTAAATGTTGAACACTCTTCAAATGAACTGGAAATAGGAAGGGCAGCAGTGTTATAGAAAGAGCTGTTCATCAGAGATGGACTCAGACCAGAATAGTGGATCCAAAGCCATATGTGGCAGGGCACTGTTGGCCCCTGCCACTTTAAGGGCCAGAAGGCAGCAGCCGGCAGGTGCCTGATTAGGACAGCCATTTTAGATTCAGGGCTGCCCATATAATCATGGCAGTTCTGCTGCTGGGGGTCAGGCAATAACATTGCCTGGCCAGAGGGCTGCTGATATCATCTGGAAGTAAGGGAGGAGCTGCAGGGGATGGTAAGGAGGCTCCTGGTCCTGGGTACAACCTAAAACTTCACCCTGCTGGGAGTGGGTGGCCTGGTGGGGCTCTCAGTGGTGCAGGAGCACCCAGGAAATGCCAGGCCAGTTACCATCCCGGTGAAGGCGGGTCGGGGTGCCTTAACCCCTAGCCCCCACAACCGGGTGGGTTACCCCTTGTTTTGGAGGGCCCAGAGAGTGGACCCTCAGAGAGAGGAAAGGGACATAGACTCAACACCTGTCTGAACTTCTCCTGACTGGCCCATGCTGGGGCCAGGACTGGAAGGGTCAAAGGGCCAGGAGCCCACCACGAGGAACACCCAAGAGCTGAGGGCCTGGGGTCCCGACTGGCCTGGAGGTGGGCCTGGGCTAGAGAGCCAAAGGTCCCGGTGGGGGGACCACACCCGGAAGGGGAAGTGGGTCAGGGAGTTATGCTGCCCAATATGAAGGCAGATGAGACTGCCTGATGAGAGGATTCTAGGTTGGGGTTCAATCAGGAGGATTCTGGGGCCCAGTGTGGGGGCCGGCGATAGTGAGAACATCGTGATGCCATCTGCGAGGCTTGGGCTGGAGTGTAGGGGAGGAAGGAAGCCACAGATAGCGCCCCCTGGCATCAGGGCAGAAAATGGACAGCCTCCCACTTATTAACATCTTCTAATTAAATATAACAACAAGGCGTGGCGGGCGAGAACGCGAGTTAGCCAAGGAACAGGTGGGCAGGCCACAGGGAAAGTGGCCCCAAGGAGGCCCCCTGTTACACCATCCAAACTTTGGGGAGATTCTGACCAGAGTTTTTCTGGATTCATCTCTACCCTTGCTTTGCTTGACTTTTGGACCAGATCCTGCTAATTTTAATCAAGCCAAACTCCCACTGATTTTACCACATGTCCGCATGTTTGATTAATTTGTCTCTAGTTTTCATTGTTTTACTTTTCTCTTGGTAAGTGAGAAACTTGGCTTTTTGGTAAGTCTTTAAAGGATTGAACCTGGGATGTCATAAAAAACAATGTTTTTGCAAAAGGACAAATGGAAATATTTCCATTCTTTTAATAAAATTCCAGTGGAGATGGTTATTTTTAAGCAAATTATTCTCTGACAGTCTCCGCAAGAATCTGAAACCGAAGGTGCTCATGTATATCTAAGTAAAAGTGAAACTTGTAATTGATTTTCATTATTCAGTTGAACAAAAGGGAAAGAAAGACTGGGATTTGGGGAAAGTGATTCGATATAAAATTTCTTTCTGTTTTAATCATCTGGGCAATTGTGGGAAAATGAAGGTTTGATGCAGAAAAATTGTGCCTATTGGGTTATGCTGGGACTAGCATTTTGTTAGGGTGTTCTCAGGGAGTTGTTGGTTTTTTCAGTTACTTTAAATAATGTCAAAGGCATCTGCAAAAAAAAATAGATGGGTGCTTTTCATATGGTCTTTTAAATTGCAATAAAAATTAAAGTTATCAGTAAAATACATAAACACATTTTTAAACAGATTTTGTTTTTAGTGATATGAATTCTAAGTTGATGGTGCCCCATAATGAATTGGAGCCCTTTGAGAATGAAGCTTGTCATTAACACATCATCAGCTGATGCATTTTAATAATACATAGAGTTGGAGGGGAGAGGAAGTGTAAGCTACTGAAGCTTGCAAAACCCAATCCCCTGAAGCTTTCATGTTTTATTTGAGCATATGTTTTGGAAGTGGTGGTGTTGACACTGGTGGCACTAATCTCCTCTTTATCTTGTTTTGATTAAAAGGATATTTGAATTTTATTTTTGGCAAACTTTTATCTAGCCTCAAAGGGGTTCCCTTGTAGCAGCTACAGAGAAATGGCCATAATAAACACATCATATGATACACTTATATCTCGCCTTATAGCTACTGCTTGGCACACTCCAGGGATGTGAAATGTTCCTGAAGAAATCTAATGAGTCAGTACCTGGCAGGTGAAAATATGAAGTCAAGGAAATATAGTTGGTATTTTTTTTCTTTGTGCAATTCAAGCCTGCAATTTTTTTTCAACTAAGTAAAAATATTTTTAAAAAACCCAAACAAATCCCCACACATATAACTGGGAGTCTTCAAATAGAAATATATTAGTTTAGTATTTAAGAGGTTTTATAAACAACTGCTGCAACTTTTCTTATGCATCCTAGACCCACGTAGTGTGTTGGGGGGGGTGTTATCTCCCATTTATCCTTTATTTAGGTGTTTGCATTAGTATGTGATAATAGTGACGTGAATTTTAATACTTAAAATGTATTTAATAAGACACCCCATATCTTCTTTATAGTGATGTAATAGGTGTGTTCTCTGATACAATCATATTTTAAGGACTGAGTCTCATCCTCCGCGTTATGTATTGTGTATAGAGGACAACAATCATATACACATTTGTATAGGCAAATATCAGAGCCTAATAGACAAAAGCATCAGATGGGCAACCAGAATACCTGGCTTGCATTGCCATATTTACCATTCACTATCTGTGTGACAGTGGCCAAGTTACTGAGGGTCTTATCCTGAAATGCAGTAAACTGAATGAAAAGTCCCTTTGATTTCACTTGTGCAGGGCCATGCCCTTAGTCCCCGTTTCAGATTTCATCATTGTTGTATGTTCTAGCTCTTCTGCTGGCTGTGTAATAGCCTCGTGTATAATTTTGATTGTCCTTAGTGCTTGCTCTAATCAGACCAAGGGCACTTATTTAGGGCCATTAATGTGGAGTAAGATACCTAACTCGAGGTTTAAAATTGTTGAGCACTTGCAGCTTCCACTGACATTAATGGGATCTACAGCTGTTCAGAATAGAAAATCAGGTCACTATTTTGTGTGTGTGTCTTCAGGGAACTCTCTTTTGAAGATGCTGGTCTTTTAATTATCTAATACAGAAATACGTCTGTGCCGAAGGCCTGCAGTACAGGTCCTTTAATACTTTACCATACTGCTGTAGGGATTAAACTGTGGAATCAATTGACATTTAACTATTGGTTGCAGTTTGTTTTACTCTCTCCCCTCTCTAAATTGTGCTTTTCAATTAAAAGGTTTTCAGTTAATTTGTGTTTCTTCCACCTTCTCATACAGAAATGAATGTCCCTCCTGAGTCTTCTGCTCCCCGCAGGCCAGGTCTGTCCAAGGTGGTTATGTCACTTTTGCTTGGTTTCCTCTTAAGACTCGCACAAGAAGGTGAAGAGATTCTCCCCTTCCTCGACCTGCTCACCTTCCTCATAGGGCACAAACAGAGATACGGAGCTCAGGGGTTCCTGTACTTCCGATTGTTTCATCTCCTCCTCTTTGTCATGCAGCATAGGTAGGAGATTTTGACTTTCTTGTTGTTGCCCCTTGTCTTGGGACACACATGGGACTGTGGTGTTTAGGAGATCTTGTCCCTTCTGCTGTTCTTCCTCTGCATGGGGAACACCCGAGGAGATGAACTTCTGTGGCTTGTGTCCATCCTGCAGTTCCCTGTCCCTGTCATTCTGGGGCATAATATTCTGCTGATTCTGTGCATCCTGCTGCTGCTTCTTGTCATCACAGGGAACGACTGGGATCAAGTTGGCTTGGTGATGCTGTCCCATCTTCTTACATTCTTCATAATGTGGGAGGACTACTCTTAGGCTGCTAGTATTTTCCTTCCTTACCGGCTCTTCATCCTCTAGGTTTCTAGCCAGGGATGACATACTCCGAGATTCTGGCCCCATAGGCTGTGGCTCCTTCTCGTACAGTACACTTCCATAGTTGTCCTCTTTGTACGATGCAGCCTCAGACTCAGAGCTCATTTGGCTTTGTTTCTTTTCATAGGTTACTTCCAAGGATGAAGTCCTCATGTGTTGCTTAGGTTCTTGCTCCTCCTTTTTTGGTATACTTTTGTAGTCCTTTTCCTCCTTGTAAGGAGCACTGTCAAAAATCACATTTTCTTGCTGATCTTCTTCAAAGGTTACTCCTAGGGACGATGTGCCATGGTGCACAGGTCTTGTAGGTAGTTGCTCCCAGTTTCTTGCATGGTGGTAGTTTTGTTCTTCTTTGTAAGGTCCACTCTCAGACCTGGGGCTCATAAGACTTGTGCTTGAGCACAACATGTTGAAGTGATCCTGTTTCTTCTTTATTTTCTTTTTCTTATACTGCATATTTAGGAAAACTGCATGTAGGTGCTTTTCCTCCTGCTTCTCTTCATTGTGGCAATTGTCTACAGGCACAGCACTTAAATTGCCTTTGACTTCCTTGATGTATGGCTTAAAATGTAAAAGCAAAGCATCCCCATGGTCACGTTCATGCAAAGGCTCATGGTAGTCTTGTCCATTCTCAAGACACTCCTGCTTGCTAGCCTTATCAGCCAGGGGTATCTTCTGTTTTCTTTTCTTTTTTGTCACCTTTTTCACAGAATTTGACTTTGTTCTGCAGAGAAGGAAATTAGGAATTAAGAACTGAGAACAAATGGCAGCTGTAAAAACTTGTATCTGAGCCTAAATCCTACATTACAATGTCTTAAGAGCCACACAGACTTCAAATAGTACACTTGATTGCCATCCTCACACTAAGTAGTCCTTGATGCTATCATCTGTGGAACAAGGACTGTTTGTTTAAATACCTTAGTCTATTATATTTGTAGCACAGGAGAAGTCATTGTACTAAACAGCAGCCACACATACCTTCTTTGAAAGCAGCCGACACAACAAAATGCTAAATTCCTGAAGGAACTGCTGATGTCTGGAAGACGATCTCTCTCTTCCGTAGTAGCTGTTGCCATTGCTGAATCTTCGGTAACGACATCAGCACTACTCATACTCCCAAACAGAACAAACGATAGTCAAAAAGTAACTGCCTCTTAATTTGCCATCAGTTCCCCCCAACTTCTTTCAAAGGATTTATGAATACGTCCAAGCTGGTTCAGACAGGGAGTAAAATGGACATATTTGGCAGCTGGTTTCATTGGTATCGTCATAGCATGTTCGTCTCCTGCTGAGCTCATCATTATGACCTCATCAGTTCTGGGATGTGAAAGGCTGGTGCCTGAGCAACCGTGACACTTTCAAACCCAAGTAATAAGCAGTTTGCCACAATGAAACATCAGATTTCCTCGTATTTATTTTGAGTTGGCTGCTTTATAAGTTGTCCTCCTCAGGCCTCTTGAGAATGCTGAGGACCTTGAAGTAGAAGTAATAGCTGGAGTAAAGAGCAGCTACTATGGCAGTGATAGATATGGGGAGTATCTGTTTTCTGTCCAGGCCATCTTCAACAGGGCATCTAAGTGCCCGCACAAATATTAATAAATCTAAGTTACAATGCCCCTGTGAAATAAAGAGATTTTATCACCATTTGGCAGGGGGCAATATTCTGTTTGCTTCCATCTCAGATGTATTTGAATATGAAGAAAATGTATTGAATCAGAGAAATACAGCTGCATTTCAGAAATATGAGTTCATTTCTGTTAATTGACTATAACTGTTAATCTGGTTTATAACAGTTATAGACATTAACAATATAATCACTATTCTGTGCATCTCAGTGTGTGAAAAGGACCATCCAAAGAATCACGTTTCTTCAGATTTTTTCAGAAAACTATGGCGAAATTTAAGTAAATCTCTTTAAAATACTGACATTTTCTTTCAGTATTTTAGGATACTAGGATGCTTAGGATGACAAATACCATGGCTGAATAAATTATGGCCCAGTTCAAAGTCCACTGATGACAAAAGGGAGTTTTATCCAAAACTTTAGTTCATTAGGTTTTGGATCATGCCATTTCTTAGTATTGATTTATCATTTCCCACCTTTAGTTACGTTGCAATAATACAATGTCAAGGATAGAATTTGACTGTTCAAAATGTTAGTAGCTTTTAATTTTCCTCAAATGCTGCCCCTGTTTGACCAGCCCTCTCTTGAACGTAGTTGGCTACTACCTCTTTGTTTAGTCAGTGGTGATGTAGGAATCTGTCCTTGGTGCTAGCAAGACTAATCAGTACTGTACTGTAAGGACCTGTTTTGGCCAGTCGCTATCTGAGTTTACATCGGGAGCTGGACTGTTCTCAGTGGTGGCAGATGACAGAACAAGGAGCAATGGGCTCAAGTTGCAGCATGGGAAGTTGAGGTTAGATGTTAGGAAGAATTTGCTTACTAGGAGGGTAGTAAAACACTGGAATGGGTTACCCAGAAAAGTGGTGGACTCTCCATCCTTGGAGGTTTTTAAAGCCTGGCTAGACAAAGCCTTGGCTGGGATGATCTTGTTGGGCATGGTCCTGCTTTGAGCAGGGGGTTGGACTAGATGTCACCTCCTGAGGTCTCTTCCAACCCTAAATTTTCCATGATTCTAGATTCTACATTCTGAAAATGTCAGTTATTTAGGAAATACTACCTGGAATATTACTGATGAGCCACAAATAAACAGTATATTTCTTGCTTGAGACTGTTAGGGTTAAGCCACACTTGTCCATGTGGGGGAACATGTTCACGGTAAAACTGGACAAACTGAGGGGATATTGAGTTTCACACAAAGCTTTGAAGTATCAGGTGGTTTACTGGTGCTTCTAGTTTTGGAAAGGAGATCTTTCCAGAGATTTTACATTTTTTTGTCACCTTGCTTTTCCGTTTTGACAGCAGACAAGCATTTGATAAGGAAGCATTGTTGGAGGTCATGAAAATATTTTATTGAATCATCTCACCAAGGAAGCCCAGCTGCATCTGTAGCTTCTACCCTTTAATAGCAGAAAGGGGAGTTTTTAAGCATAGGTTATTTTTAAAGTTATTTAAGAATATTTAAAGGCTAGTTTATTAGAACAAAAAGCTGCAGGTACTGCATGAACTTTACAGGCTACTTTGACTTTCTATAGAATAGCAGGTTATGTTAAAAAATCATCCACTGAGTAATACAACATTTCAAGAAGTTGGTCTTTGATGGTAGGTGTCAGTAAAAGGGACTGGATACGCAAATAGAACCTTTGACGTTAATGTTGATAATACAATACTTAGCACTCATATAAAGCTTTGCATTTTCAAAAAACCTCTGCCTTGGCTCACCAAGGCTTATATTGTTAGATCCATAATGTAGCATTCTTTCACTGTAGGGCTAACCATTTGACATGTGTCTTCCTAATAGAGCATTTTAGATCTCAGTTTTATTTTAAGAGCAAGCATTGTAATGGCTACCAACCTATCCCACCAAGACACAGTGCATTTCTTATTGCTTCTGGATACTTGTTTACCTTATAATTTTCGTCTTTTCCGCATGAACTTACCCTATATGTTAAGTACTTGAAGAGTCAATGTTTTAACCGATATGAGGCTTTTATAGGTTGGGTTTACACAGGGGATGCGGCGCAACATATCTCCCCTGGCTTGAAAAAGAACAGACTTAAATTGCAGAGCTAGCTCACGCCTACACATCAAAATGATGAGATGGCTTCTTTTTTTTTTTTTTTTTTTTTACCCCTCACAACTTTATAAATCAAGGGCAGGTGCAGTAATTGGGTATTTGCTTATGTAAAATGCTCTGTAGCAACCAAGTGAAGCACCCCTCCTGAAGACAGCAGGAGAGCGTTGTCTGGCTTCCATTTAAAATTATTTTTCTGGTGTGGAACAATCCTGACTAACATCATGCAACATGAAAACCCCTCAACACATTTTAATCCTTACAGTCAGTAGCAAAGAAGAGACAGCAGATGATTTTGATACGTAGGCCATATTGTCATCTTTATCGAATCAGTAGACAACTGCAGAAGGAATGTGGTCCCTCCTCCTCAAGCTCCCACAAATCAGTAGGAAACTGCAGAAAGAGCGGGGTCCCAGCAGCCTCATTCCCCTTTTCAGTAGCATTATTCTGTAATTATGGGAGTGAGGGAAGAAACAATGATCGTTCTAGGGTTACATCTTACAGAATGATAGCAGGTAATTTCAGTGACTTCATCCATATGAACATGTCCAGCCTGCAAAAGCAAGTCTGAGGAGTAAAGGAGCCCAGGAGAGCTGCCTCTTCTTTATGGAGACACTTTTTAAGGGCACAGAAGTGAGCTATCCTGATGCAACAGAATGGGAAATGCGTCAGAAGGCCAGCTTGTATAGACAGTGGTCTCTTCCATGAGTTGAAACTCAAAAAGCAATCCTACAAAAAGTGGAAATGTGGTCATAAGAGTATCATACGGGCACACAGGAAGAAAATTAGGAAGGCCAGGACATGATCTGTGATGCAACTGGAAAAGGATTTAAAAGGCAATAAAAAGGGATTCTATAGGTATGTCAAGAGTAAGAGAAAGACTGAAGAAACCACAGGACCCTAACAGAATGCAGAAAGCAATCTAATGATGGATAATACAGAGAAAACTGAAGCAGTTAATGCCTTTCTTATTTGAGTCTTCATAAATAGGAACAGCGACCAAAGGACAAGTGCAGTTGACAGCAAAGATAGGGAAGAGTTGAAACAACCTAGAGTAATGGCAGAATAGGTTAAGGATTATTTAGAAAAGCTAGATACTTTCAAGTTGGCAGGACCTGGATGCAATACACCCTGAAATACAAAAAAAAAAAAAAAATGGCTGAAGTAATTTTAGAGCCACTAGCAATCCTCTTTGTGGGGGTTGGGTGAAGTCCCAGATAACTGGAAAAAGGCAAATATAGTGTCCATTTTTAAGAAAGGAAAGGACAAAGATTCAAGGAACTACAAACCAGTCAGCCTGACCATGATACCAGGAAAGATCATGGAGCAAGCCCTCAAAGATTCTAATAAGTGTCTAGAGAAAGACAAGGGGATCAGAAATAGCCATCATGGATCCACCAAGAGCAAGTAATAGCAAAACCAAACTGATTTCACAAAAGCATAAAAAATTAGAAGGGACTTCAGGAGGTCATCTAGTCCAATCCCCTTCTCAAAACAGGACCATCCTCAATTATATCATCCCAGCCAAGACTTTGTCTAACCAGGTCTTAAAAACCTCCAAGGATGGAAATTCCACAACTTCTCTGGGTGCTTTACTACCCTCTTGGTGACATTTTTTTTCTAATATCTAACCTACACTTCCCATGCTGCAACTTGAGCCCATTGCTCCTTGTTCTGTCATCTGCCACCACTGAGAACAGTCCAGCTCCAGCCTCTTTTGAACCCCCCTTCAGAGAGTTGAAGGCTGCTATTAAATCCCCTTTGTCTTCTCCTCTCCAGACTAAACAAACCCATTTCTCTCAGCCGCTCATATATCATGTTCCCCAGCCCCCACACCATTTTCATTGCCTTCTGCTGGACTATCTCCAATTTGCCTACGTCTTTTCTGTGGGGGCGGGTGGTAAAACTAGACACTGCTCCAGTGGCCTCACCAGAGCCAAACAGAAGTGAATAAACACTTCCCTTGAACTGCTGGAAACACTCTTACTAAGGAAACTCATTATGCTGTTAGCTTCTTTTGCAGCAAGGGAACACGGTTGGCTCATATTTAGTTAATTGCCCACTGTAATCCCCAGGTCCTTTTCCTCAGGGCTGCTGCCCAGGCAGTCAGTCCCCAGCCTGTATCAGTGCATGGGATTGTTCTGTCCAAAGTTCAGGACTTAGCACTTGTCCTCCTTGAACTTCATGAGATTTCTTTTGGTCTAGTCCTCCAATTTGTCTAGGTGTTTCTAAATCCTAGCCCTGCCATCTGGCATATCTACTACCTTACAGTCCATTCATCCAACCTGTACTTCATTAACTTTCTTACGAGAATGTTGTGAGAGACCATATCAAAAGCTTTGCTAAAACCAAGGTATATTATGTCCACTGCTTTCCCAGCATTCACAGAACCAGCCATCTTATCATAGAAGGCAAGTAGGTTGGTCAGGCATGACTTGTCCTGGGTGAATCCTTGCTGACTGTTTCTAATCACCTTCTCCTCCAAGTGCCTAGAAACAGATTCCTTGAGGACCTGCTCTATGAGTTTTCCAGGGACTGAGGTGAGGCTGACCAGTCTGTAGTCCCCTAG